AAGATATCCTACTGTGGGTTGTCACATGAGCATCCTATGAACCATCTTGAGAGGTTCGAGGATCTTATTGCTGTTATTTGAGTTAAGGGAGTCATTGAGGACTACTTACTATGCAAGCTCTTCAAGTACTCACTGGCTGGAGATGCTGTGCATTGGCTCAAGCAGCTACCATCAGGATCTCTTACATCATGGACTGACATCAAGAATGCATTCCTGCGGTTTCTTTAATGAGGCGCGAGCTGAAGAACTAAGGAGCAAGATTGCTCACTTTACACAGAAAGCTGGAGAGTCTTTCAAAGACTCTTGGATCAGATTTAATTTCTTCCAGCGCGACTGCCCACACCATGGATTCAATGAGGTGCATCTACTCATCATTTTCTTTAGAGGAGTCGCTTTTAAGTATCATATGGCTCTTGATACAGCAAGCGATGGGAGTTTTAACACCAGGAATTTAGACGAAGCTGTGAGGCTTATTGAGAATCTAGCTAACAGCAGCAGCACCAAGAACACTGATTCTGAAAGGAGGAAATTTGTAGCATTCCTTGGGAAAGAACATATTGATGAAGTAAAAGCTAAGTGGGATAGTGTCAACCAGCTACTAATGAGACAGGTTTTCTCAGCTGAAGATGCAGAGGATATAGATTCATAGCTAGCAGATGTGAATAACATTGCAGGAACTGGATTTCAGAGGTCTGGAAATCAGTTTGGAAACATGAACTTCAATGTTAATGGTTAGAGGAGTAATTTCAACCAGAATTCACAATATCAGAATCCCTACATCAGCTACATCAACAACAAGGGTCATGGAAATTCAATCTACCAGAATCCACCACCACAGACTCAAGAAAGCAAGATTGAAGCCATGCTTGATCAGGTTCTTGAAGGATAGCAGAGGCTAACAGTGGATTTCAATGGGAAGAATTGATTCCATCTACAATAATCTGAACACCAAGATTGATTCTTTGGGTACTCAAGTAAGGAAGCTTGAGACTCAGGTGGTTCAGACTGGAGAAGCTCTTAGGAAGGAAGAAAGATATGATGATTTCTTGCAAGAAATTCGACATCTGAAGATGAAAGAGGACGATTTTGAGGAGGAAAACTTGTTCGACTCCGACGAATCACCTTCGCATCGATCGATGCCAATTAGGGATAATCGATCGATAGTATTCGACACAGATCGATCGACAGAAGGTCATGCCGATCGATCGACACTAACCGAGTCGACTGAATCGTGCAATGCAATCTGGATCTTGACTCACGAGGAGTTCGTGGAAAGACACCCGCATCCACCCAGCCCTTTCTACTCCACCATCGATCGACATCACGAGTCAATCATCGATCGACAGAGAGATCATGCCATCAAGCGACAGAATTCAGACACCATCGATCGACGCACCTCTCTCACATACCAAGTGTGTTTGCCCCCAATAGACATATCATAAATCAACGCACTACGACCGCCATCAACCAACTCTACATCAGAGCGTATGGACATTAACAAGGCCACTACTAGAAGAACCCTGAGGAAAATGAAGAACAAGGTTCCTAAACATCTCAAGTGGGAACCTAATAAGAAGGAGATCGATGGTTTCACTAAGAGAGTTCCCAGGATCCCATTGGACAAACCTTTGAGGAGGTTTACTTTTCCCACAGCCTGTGGATGTACTTCAGAGAAACGAGGGACACTGAGTAGGACATTAGGAGAATGTTTCATCAGGTCAGAGAAAGGATGAAACATAGGATCACAATGAAGATGAAGAATTATCCTGGGAAACTTGCAGTACCATGTTCAGTAAGAGGTATTGAGTTCTCACATGCATTATGTGACACAGGAGCATCAGTCAGCATCTTACCAAAGGTCATGGCAGACCATCTGGGTCTGAAGTTAGAACCTTCCCAAGAATAATTCACTTTTGTAGATTGTTCTGAAAGGAAATCAGGAGGTATAATTAGAGATCTGGAGGTGCAGATTGGTAATGCACTCATTCCTGTAGACTTTCATGTCCTAGATATCAAGTTGAACTGAAATTCTTAACTCTTATTGGGAAGAGCTTTCATGGACACAGTAGGAGCAGTTTGTGACATGAATTCTAACAACTTTTGTCTTACTTTAGTTGATCCAAATGTTTTTTATGATCATGTTCGTGTTGTTAAGCAACATGTACACCTATTGGAGACTGGATATGCTGGATTCATCGCTATATGCCATTGTGAAGCAGAGTATGAAACCGAGTAGTCTGAATCAATCGATACACACTCAGTGTCATCGACTGATTCCCTCAACCATCCGGTGATCGATGCACAACAAGACACATCGATCGATAGACAGTCCACACATGGAACCCTACCAGATCACTACTACCCGAGTCTTGCCTCTCAAGCCACCAGCAACAAGCAGGATGACTACTCCTTAGGCAGTTGGGCAGACAGTGTTTCTATGAGAATTTTTCAATCGACACTGCAATCATATCAGATTCAGAGGATCACAAAGAGGAGCATGATGAGGAGTATTCTAGAGAGATCCATGCAATTCTTACAGAAGATATTCTCCTACAACCCATCAACAAGACGAAACTCACGAAATCGATCAACGCGGAAATACCAGAATCGATTGATACTCTACCTCATCAGGCAAATCGACATCAACAGTCGACCGACACTCACATGCGCACATCTATCGATTTTGAGGCCACCGACTTCAGGAAATTTGGAAATTTCCAAACCTTCCTAGGGCACCTGATAGCTATAAAAGAAGTCATGCAACCAAGAGAACGTCAAATACCATAGAATCAGACAAGATGCAAGCACCTACAACTTTTGGGAAACAAAGCAAGAGAGGAACCAACTACAGAGATCATCATGGCAAAGCAACAAGAGCAACATTCAACTAGCGAAAGATCACCACCTCTCATCTACCATCGATCAATACTACACCAAGCACATCGATCGATTCTCACCCTAAAACTTTCTCTTTGACTAAAGATTATTTCATTGATGATTTTCTAAAACTAGATGAATTTGGTGTTATTAGGGATCCAGAAGGTCATACACGAGCTATGGATGGGAGGATTCTACAAGTTTTCAAAGAAGACATAGTAGAAATCCTTCAGATGGCTAATGGACCCGTAAATCTCTTTCAGCAACAACTAGGCATGATGCAACAACCATCGACCGAAACAGTCAAAGCATCATCGATCGACAAGGAACCTCGTTCATCGATCGATAGGAAGCGACGTGTAACGACCGACAGCAGCACATCATATGGACCGGTTTTGGAGCCAGAGCTCTACACCAAAGACGAAATCAAGATGATTGGTTGCATGAGTGATTGCCAGGTAGAAGCCGTGGGTAAGCTTAACAGCAATCTGGATACGGTCTGTGTGATTCTGTAAGGAAGTATCAGTGGATTGAGTACGCGCATGAAAGAGATGGAAGCAGAACTAGCTACTATGAAGACACATCGTGCATCATCGATCGATGCCACTAAGGACGCATCGATCAACGCGAATGACAAACCAGTCAAAGAAGGGTTGTTGACAGAACATATGGCTAAATGGGACAAGGCATATCTCGACGCAAGGATTGACGAAATCTATCACCCTCTCACCAACAACATCAACTGGTTAACCATGAGGATTGAGTTGATACATCAAGATTTGGATATGTTCCACGAAGAGAAACGTCAACATGAAAAAGGCAAATCGATCGACAAGATGCTATGACATTGATCGATGCCAAGCTTTTGGATATCAATAAAAGGATGAAGATATACGAAGATGAACATGATCAGTACATGCCCCCATAATTAACTTGTAATTTTAAAAAACTACCTGAGAAGCAATAATTACCCTATAATAATAAAAGACTTCAAATTGACTTTGAGTGAAAATAACTCAATACTAACATGTTTTATTTAATCAAATTCTTCGGTTTATTCGGTTTAATCACTTTTATATCGAAACATATCTAGATACCATCTATATTATTAATATCTAGATACCATCTATATTATTAATAGAGAAGTACCCATATAAAATACCCCTTAGTTTTCATTTTTATTTACAATAGCATGCCACTGAAGTAATTAAATGAACTTATATGTAAGTAATCATTGTCTTTTCCTATTTATTAAACAATTTCCTAAATCAATTTTGACTTAATTTTCGTGTTTAATATATTCCCTAAAATAAATTAGCTGATTTTTAGGAATATTCATATTTAAAATCGATTTTAACAATATTAAATTTGTATAACGTTACCATTAATTATTTTGAACAAAATTCAAGTTTATATTCGAAATTAAAAATAAATATTATGAATATTCCTAAAATATATGTTTAACTTAGCATTAATTATTTTGAACAATAAGATTTTAAATATATTTAAACTACTTATATAAACAACATGAACTATTTGTAACTGAATATTATTTTAATATTTTCAAGAAGAAAATTTAATACTGAAATTGAAATATTGAATTACTTGTAAAACAATGTTTAATGTTTATAACCAAATATTATTTTTTATAACGTATCTAAATCTTACCATATTATCCATATCTGATCAAAATATTTAAATTCTTTTTATATTTGACAAACAATTTCATGTTACAAGAAATATTATTCAAAGTATCAATAGGTCAATATTAATTTTTCAAGAGTTTAATAATGGACACAAATCACTATTTTTACAGCATATAAATTATTCAATTTTTGTGTTTATAAAAATTTAGAAATATGATAAATATTTAAAAATATTAACAGATAGATATTTAAATAATACTCATTTATATAAAAAAAATGAAATAAATACCCGTCCGGTCGGACGGGTCCAGTTCTAGTAATTTCTTAAATTAAAATCCATTCGTTTTATTCGATATTATCAATTCAAACCGTTTTCTCTTTTTTCAGTTCATTTTTACTAAAACACCTCTAAGATATAGTGACACCTACGTCCCCCGAGCTTGCACGAAGTTTCCGCCCCAAGTATTACTAGTATACGGAAAATATTGATGTAAACCGAGTGACAAAATTTGAGGGCAAAACTGGAAACGGAAGCAAGAAATCAAAATCATCTTGGTTTACTCGATAAACCGAAATGGGTCGAGTGAAATGTAGAAATATTATTACGGATCAGGCCTAACCCGAATCGGAACATATGTAAAGAAAGTTAACAAATAAAACCCACCAGAAAATGAAAGGACAAACTGAAGGCTAAACCACAGAAAACCGAACCAAAATCCAACCCGGTTAAGGTATCGATTTGACTTGTCATCGGTGGCTGACTCTCTCCTTTACGGTCCTCCTATTGTGTGGGACATAAAAAGTAAGAAATCATCACAGCAGATAAAAAAGGCTTAAACCAAACCAAACAAAACTGTGACATACCTGTTTGCTTTTAGATGTGAATCGGCTTGTCGTAGGTGGCCATGGCAGCTTCCTTGAGAGCCTCGCTCATAGTGGGATGGGCGTGGCAGACTCGAGCGATATCTTCACTAGATGCATCGTAGTTAATCGCAAGAACCGCCTCATGGATCAGCTCTCCAGCGTTTGGTGACATAATATGAACGCCCAAGATCTTATCCGTCTCCTTATCAGCCAAAATCTTAACCAATCCTTCAGCATTATCTATGGCCTTAGCTCTGCTATTGGCCATAAACGGGAACTTCCCAACACGATAGCTCACACCGTCTTTCTTCAACTGTTCTTCGGTTTTACCGACGGAAGCAACCTCAGGATGCGTGTAGACAACACCAGGAACCTTGTCATAATCCACATGGCCGTGTTTGCCTGCTATGAACTCAACACAAGCAACACCGTCTTCTTCAGCTTTGTGAGCAAGCATTGGTCCTGGAATCACATCTCCAATCGCATACACTCCTGTGACATTGGTCAAGAACCTCTCGTTGACCAGAATTCTCCCACCTTTGTCGGTTTCCACTCCGATTTTCTCCAGGTCAAGTCCAGATGTGAAGGGTGTTCTTCCAGCTGAGACAAGGACAACATCTGCTTCGAGAGTGGTCTGGTCACCACCTTCAGCTGGTTCCACTGTGAGCTTCACACCGTCTCCAGAGGCATCCACGGATACAACTTTAGTCTTGAGCATGAACTTCATCTTTTGCTTCTCAAGCGAACGCTGGAACTGCTTACGGATCTCACCATCCATAGAAGGAACGATATCCGCAGCAAACTCAACCACAGTGACCTCCGATCCAAGCCTTCCCCAAACAGAACCCATCTCCAGCCCAATATATCCAGCACCAATCACAATCAGTTTCTTCGGGACCTCAGACAAAGACAAGGCTCCAGTCGAGGAAACAATCTTCTTTTCATCGATTGTAATACCAGGCAAAGACTTGACATCCGAGCCAGTAGCAACAATGATGTGTTTGCCTTTCACCACGGTGTTTCCTCCATCGATAGTCTCCACAGAGACTTCATTGGGGGAAAGAAACTTACCATATCCCTTGACATAGGTAACCTTGTTCTTCTTGAACAAACCCTCAATACCACGAGTGAGGTTCTTGACCGCATTGTCCTTCTGAGCCAACATAGCTGGAAGATCAACCTCAACTGAAGCCAACTTGATACCATGGTGAGCAAAAGCGTGTTTCGCCTCATGGTACATATGTGAAGAGTGAAGAAGAGCCTAAGGCACAAATAAAAATGAATCAACTTTCCCTTCAGCACAAACTAATAATTACATCATCACAGATCAAACGAAAAGCTTTATAAAAATCAGATAACTTAAGTTTGCTAATGTCAATGTATCACAGATTAAGGTTTTGCTAACTGAGCTACGATTCAAACTAATCGTCACAAGCTAAACCTTAAAAGCAAAATTCTCAAGCCAAATAATCGACACTAATTAACTCTCCATCAAGGAAACATATAGATCTAATGTCAACGATGATCAGAAGCAACAAACAGAGGATTCAATTCAAAATCGAGAGGAGGATTAATCGAAATTGACCTTGGAGGGAATACACCCGACGTTGAGACAAGTACCACCGAGAGCGCCGCGCTTCTCGATACAGGTGGTTTTGAGACCAAGCTGAGCCGCCTTGATCGCTGCCACGTAACCGCCTGGACCGCCGCCGATGACGACCACGTCGTTCTCATCAGATCCCGATGAAGCGAAGCCACGGGAGAGGGAAAAGGAGAATCTAAGAGCGTCAGTAGTTACGTTTCTGGTGAGAAAATAAGCCTTCCTTCTTGCTAAATTCGCCATCGCCATTTTTGTTAGAGAGAGAGAGAGAGAGAGGAGAGAAAGAAACTTGGCTCCTTGTAGAGATGAATAAAGCCGGCAAAATGTATAAAGCAGGAGGCTTCAGACCTTTTCTTCTTTTTTTTTTATAAATCACAAATATATAATATTTCCACAATTGACCAAATATTATAAAAAGAATCATGTAAATGAATGAAATGATTTATGGAAAATTATTCAACCCGCTTTTTTCATTAAGGTTATAAACTTACTTTAATTTCCAAAATCTCAAGTACCACGAAATATTCGCAATTAATTACAAATTTTATCAAATCAATACTTGAATCATTTTTTTGTCAACAACATTTGCATCATTTTCATTCATAAAAAGACAGAAAAATATATATATAAAAAGGAAAATATATGGACATCATGGAGGAGAAGAAGATAAAGAGATAAAGATAGAGATGATGAGAAGGAATGACATAAGAGGTAAGGATTGAAGCTTTTGAGATAAACCCCCAAAATCTTCCATTGTCCACACAAAAACCACTCAAAGCTCCACAGATATGGGAGAGAGATTCTTGAACTAGATTTGTATCTCTAGTGGAACATGTACCAAAGAAACAAGCCGCATGCTCTCAGACAGAACCTAAATTCAGATGCTTCAAGTAAAAATCCTTAAAACAATAATGGGTACATCACAAATCCTCAAAACAAAAAAAAAAATGGAATATTCATCACCAATCCAAATTCAAATACTGGAAATAAATTTCCTTAAATATCAATGGGAACATCACTAATCCTCAAAAAGAACAAAGTTCAAAACTTGAAATAGTCATCACCAATTTGGTGCTTCTGCTTCCAATAGTCATAACAAAACTTCAGGTTGCTTTTTCTCTAGCACTCTCTTCTGAAACAACCTAGCAAACAGATGAATTAAAAATGACCAACCAACATTACAAACATGTCCTTTCCTCTCGAAGTCTTTTATTTTGATCTCACTGGAACCAATCACAATTTAGAGAAATAATCACCGGACCGGTCTAAAACCGATCCCTCTTTATATATATACTGCCAAAAAAAGACTGGCTTCAGTCGCCTCCAAGCATAGCTTGTAACCGAGATCGAGCTTCATCAGAAACACAGAACCTTAACCTACTCTGCGGTTGTTGAGGTAAAGAAGGAACCGAGGAGAAGCAGATGACCACAACCGTCATATTATCTGATGAGTTAAGCCTCGCTGCTTCTTTCCCAAGTTCCATTGCGCTTTGACTCGGGTCGCCGTGTCTCCTCAGTCCTTGCCTTACGTTACTCACTGCATTCTGGCTTGACAATACGTCCCAAATTCCATCACATGCCAAAATCAAGAACTCGTCGTCCTCTGTTAGGATAATCTGTTGAATCTCTGGGTCTGATATCAGAGGTGAGGAGGAGCCAGTGAAAGGACTCTTCAGTTCCCAGTCTCCAATGGCACGTGTGACAGCAAGGACCCCGTTGAGGTACCCATCCTCAAAGTATCCTCCTAGGTCTTCAATCCGCCTACGCTCTGGCTCGTATGTTGATCTGTGATCGAAAGACATGTCAACAGCCACCCCTCTCCGGCATAGCACTGCACGGCAATCTCCAGCATTAGCAACAAGAAGATGTCGTCCGACAATGAGAGCGGTCAAGGCGGTTGTCCCACATGAACCACTGACAATGCTATCATCAGCCATGGCGAGATCAGCCAAAGCAAAAGCTTTTCGGTGAGAGTTCCCAAGTTCTTGCAAGAAAAAGTTGTCCACACTGGAGGGCATCTCTGGAAAAACAGAATCTTGGAAAAACAGACTTGCCAGGTTCTCCTTCATGTAAAGTGATGCCTCAGGTCCACCATGGCCATCAAACACTCCATAGAAAGCACTTGGTAAGGAGAAGTTGACGGATCGAAAATGAGCTGATAAGTCGTCTATGCAGATGTGTTCATCCTCCATGGTTTCTCGGCCTCGAATGTCAGCAAAGCTCCCTGAACGTATAGTTGGGAAAAACTCACTGGTGGGCTCTTCAACTTCAATGGTAGTGGTTGCAAAACTCATGCCCTGTTACATGAATGCAATTTGTTAATCTTACTTCTCATAAAATCCACAGAACAGATCACGACAACAAATTCAAAGGGCAAACAAGTCATCCTTATAACAATGTAAACACTGAGACAGACTTAATTAGAGAAATAATCAAAAAATTAAAGGGCAATTAACAGTCTTAATTAGAGACGAAATAAACAATTGAAAGGAAAATCAAGTTGTCCTTGTAACAATGTAAACACTGAGATCCATTAACAGCTTAAATAACAGTCTTAATTAGAGACGTAATAAACAATTGAAAGGACAATCAAATTGTCCTTGACAAAAAGATTCATTAACAGCTAAATCAAAGGCATAGCTTTTCTCTAAAAGACATAAGCTAATCATCCTAACCCCATATTGTCAAAATAACCCTTGACTCATATACGCAAAATTGATCATTATCAGGACATCAAGGGAAGATCCCATCTCAAAACCTAATCATTGACTCGTAATTTAAGCAAACAAGACTCGATTTTGAGGAAGAATCTGTATAAAGGCAGATGAATCTTGGAAACCCAATAATAATAATTTAACAAAAGGGGGATCCAGATCGAGAGCCCTAAACACATACCGATTCGAATCGAGGCGTTTCAGCGGAATCGGAAATCTCAGCACGCACAGACTCAGAAACACGAAAACTGTTCTGCTCTTTGGCAGAGGAGATATGGCACTTGACGTCGAGGACCCTGATCTCAGGCTGACTCAGAATCATGATGTCTCTTCACTTGTTATAAATCAAAAATCGAGCAGATCCGATTGCCGAAAGGCGATATCGACGACGCTTTGTATGGACGCAATTGAAATTCGCGCACAAGAATAAAGAGAACAAAGGAGAAAGTGAATTTAGGGTTTGGTTTCCGTGTTGGATGTTTATTTGTATATATTATTACTGTATGGACTGTATTGACAGATGCCCATAATTAATAACAATAATAATTAAAATAAATAATTTCCTAATAAATCATCATATAGGAGTTATACTATTGTCTTATATTAACAACTAAAGAATTTCTGAGTTGATGTCAAAAAAAAAAAAAAAAAAAGAATTTCTGAGTTCAGTTCAATTTCTTAAAAAAAAAAAAAAAAAAAACTGAAATTTTTTTCTTTGATTGAAACTTTTTAATGTCATCAAACATTCACTTATTTTTTCAACTAACCATTAATTTACTCAAAAAATTTATACCAATTTCGATAAGAAAAAAACATAATTTTTTAATCTTGTGATTTTATTAATTAAGTTTGAGAAGATATATATATATATATAGCGTAAAATAAATAATGTATTATTACATTTGGGGCATAATAGTGGTAACAAGATAAAGCATCATTTGGTATTATCTCGTTTTGTTAGTATATTCGAAGGTTTGTTGTGCTTTCTCTAGAGTTAATTTGAATCTATAAAAACTGGACTTTTTGAAAGTTAGTTGGATCATTTCCTTCCTACTCGACTTGAACCAAGACAATTAGTAAACCAAAATCATTTTCTGGTTTCTTTAGAACTAAATCACATTCTCTGGATGTCGGTCAAACTGATAAGAGGTCAAATCCCATTGAAGACCATGAATATAGAAACTGAACACCCAACATAATCGGGATTAAGCCATAAAATTATTATAACTTGCATCTATACTATTAAAACAGAAGGCCCTTTTTTCAGGCGCCCTTCTGTTTCAATAATATTTACAGAACAATGCCACTGCATAATTTTCTAAGCTATGCTTTGTATTAAAGCGGTTTTACCCGATGCAAGTGGGTTTGACCCGATAGAATATTCTAAAACAATACTTTTTACTTAATTGTGTTTTCTGTTTTTCATTTATTTATGCAGCAAAAATCACACATTTAATTAATATAACCCTTTTCATTTATTTATATATGCTTTTGAGATAACATTGCCTATATATTTGCATGATATAACACATATATATTTGTCATGTACATTTTGAATCAAACACATCCTTCCATCCATATTACGAAATAAATGTGCATACGATTATATAAATTAATGTACATACAAACATTACTATCTCATTAAAATGATGAATCGACGTATATGTTTAGTAATACATAATTACGAGTAATNTACTATCTCATTAAAATGATGAATCGACGTATATGTTTAGTAATACATAATTACGAGTAATCCTCTGCATATTTTGTTTTATTTATGCTTATTCTTTAGAATATACCGATTGTAGCATTTCGAATAAATTTTTTCTACGATTATGATATCGCAACCGATTCCGAACCATAACGAATTTAACAAATTTGTTTTGTAAGTCAAAAATTTTTTCTTAAATAAAAAATATCCTTCTTAGCATAAAATTCTGTTTGTGCAATCTTAACTAAAGTTGTAATCTATTCATACAATAATCAAATCAATAATTATATATATATATAATTAAATAAATAAATAAAAACTAAACTTTACTCAAATAAACTAAAATCCCGGTAAGTTGTTAAATTAAAAAACAAATATATTAGATCGTAAATAGCTGAGCAATCTAAGTATTATCATATATTTAAAATATCAGTAACAACCAATCATAACATAAAAATCGCAGCATTTAGTAACTTAAATCTATATAATTAAAACAATAAAATCTAATCTACCATATTTTGAATAAACTTGATCCGCAAGATCACAA